TTTGTGTCACATGAAATTAACTCCACAGAGATACAAGGTTTCATTGATTCCTGTATATATGGCTCAATTTCATCAAGTTAAGCAAGAATTGCTTTAGTTAGATTTATCAGGGTTAGGGTTGCAAATAACCCTCTTGAATTAAAAGAGAATAATTATCTCTAAGCATTAGCTTATTTTCCCCTCGTAAACCATACACTGAAATTAAAGGCATGTTTTCCACAGTTTTTATTGTGAGATTATGCCGATGTAAAAGATCAATTTATTTCAAGACTTTTCACACATCTTTATGTAGGGAAGCAATCATTGTAGAAAGGGTCTGATAATTCAATTTATTTCATGATAAAGGTCTATTTTCTTCATAATATTATTTAACTACTTTTTTGTAATCAATAGGGTCTGAGACCACAAGAGTTCAGCTTTAGTATAGAGTAATCTATTAACTCTGGATGGCTCAGAAAGAAGGCTTTTGTGTCTTATCTGAAAGTATCTTTTAATAGCATGAAGGAGTCAAACATCACGCAGGCCCCTGCTGTCAGAGTCAACAGACGGAGCTCTGCTTCACAGGTCATAAACACTCTGGTGACAGTGGTCAGAGGCTTATTATCCTTACACCCAAGGACAACAAAATGAATGTCCCAACTTCAAACAATTACAGCTGGCAGGGCACAGATCCCTTGTTAGCGTCACTCTTCAATGAGGCTCTCAGGTGGAGAAAGTCTGTATTTTAGTGTAAACGGCTTGTGTCTCCCAAACAGACGTCAAGATATAATCTCATATTGGCTCAATGTGTTGCAATCTGTTTGATCAGGATGGAGGAGATGTTGGAAACAAGGCCCGTATCAGTTAAATGTAGGCCAGGGGTCAGTGCAGCTTTGTGTGCTGAACTTTTCTGCTGCTATCAGAAGCTGCTGTGGCTCAGTGCTCCGGATAAGTGAGCACATACCCCAGGGGGCCAGAGACAGCCGGACTCTGAGGGGATGAGAAATGTCTGCGCTGTCAGCTCTGGTTCCCAGCATGGCCTTTCTCCCCTCCTGCCCCCACCGAGCTTCTCCGTTGGCCCTTTGTGTGCAGACCGTGCTCCCTGTGGACTCTTCACTCTCTATGGCCTTTCAAATGCGACTGTGTCCAATCACCTTTCACTCCTTCCTCCTCTGGATCTGAAGCCTCTGTCTCCATCTCCAATCAGCTTCTGACCCCGTAGAACGAGAGATATTAGAGAGCTGAATACCTGCTTAAAGAAAAATTACTCTCTGGTATTGTTGAGGAATCTGGGAGGCAGGGGGTCTAGCTCATACAGAAAAAAACTTACCTTAGAGAACATTAATAATAGTTAATATCATTCATTAATATCACAAGGTTTTATCCCTGTATGATATGGAATGTATGAAATGGCTTTAATGTGAACCGCTGGGTCTCCACCCACTGTCCTGAATGTTTAAATGTGTCTCTGCTCTGGTGCACCTCAATCAAATCTTTACATTGCCTCCTCAGTAGCCATCAAGGGTTACAGAGGGATGTTAATCGCAAATTTATCTATGTAAGGTGTGTCCCAAACAAATGCACCATCATCAGTTTAGATGACTACAGGCCCATCTCCCTGAAGGTTAGTGTCTTGAAACCCTATAAGCAAAGGACATCGAAGGCTCCCTGGCCCCCTCAAACTGTACCACCTTAAATATCTAGAAAGGAATTCCAGGATTACATTTGTGTACTTCAGCTTTGCTTGTAACAACATCAACACAGACTTCACTAGAAGCTCAGCCAGCTCGTGGTGTAGGCCTCTACCTGTCAGTGGCTCACCAGCTCTCTATCTGAGCAGCATCAGCAGCAAGTGAGACTGAGATGCCAATTCTTTCTCACAAGTTCCCCCCAAGGTTGTGGGTTATTTGTGCTTCCTCAAAACTGCTATTTCCTCTGACCTTTGTTGCTCTCAAACGTACTGTAGACACTGTTCAAATAGTGGAACTGTACTTCCTGCAGCAATTCAAGAAGTACAACCTTTCTCAGGAACTTCTTGTCATCTTTTATACAAAGCATGACATGTCTAACTAAGAATAGGTTTGCAGAGGAATCACCAAGGCTAACCTTCCCTGCATCCAGGATTAGGACCAGTAGAATCTCTGCAGATCCCACACATCCTGAACATAAACTGTTCAGACCAGGGGTCTCAAAATCAAATCCTTAAGGGCCGGTATCCTGAAACTTTTAGATGTCCTAAACACCTGAATTAAAAGGCTAAACTAGTTCACTAGCAGTAGTCCAGCTCTACTAATAAGCTCATACTGGATTCAGATGTGTCCAACCAGAGACACATGTAAAAGTTGAAGGATGCTGGCCCTCAAGGATTTGAGTTAGAGACCCCTGGTTTAGACCTTTACCTTCAGGTTGGTGTTAAAGATCATTATAAAAATGAAAAAACAGCCACCTCAGAGACATTCTCCTACCCCATCCTGTTAATCTGAGGAACCTCTAACAGTTAGAGTGAACGTCTATACCATTCCTGTCTGTTAAAGGAATAGTACACCCAAAACATGATTAGCCTTCATTTTCTACTCACCCCCATGCTGAACAACACTCTGGAGTACTTTTTTGATATCTCAAATGCATCTGGAGATCTGGGAGGCTGCTTGCTGTCTGCTGACATTCAAATAATGGAGGTCTATGGTGCCCGAGACAGAAAGGTCCATAAAAGTCCACAAAAAACTTGTCAATATTCCTCCATACTGCTCGTCCAATGTATTCCAAGTGTCCTGAGTGGGTAGCATCCAAAATTTACTCGAAACGAAGTCATTTAGAATGTTTTTAGAGCATAAACAGTAGTGTATAGGATTTCCTGAAAGCGCGCACATGTGCGTTCACAACGCTACGGAAGCCGGCAGACCAAACCAGATGAAAGTGCGCATTCAGCGTCTGCTCTGCCAATAATGCAAGCGTAGAAGAAGAAATGTGCTGTTTACCTGTGCAAAGAAAGAAACAACGAAAGAAAAATGTCTGAGGACTTCAGTGTTGAGGAAGAGCATGAGTTCTTTGCTGAGCTGAATGCGCTGGTTTGGTCTGCCGGCTTCCGTAGCGTCGTGAATGCGCATGTGCGCGCTTTCAGGAAGTCCTATACACTACTGTTTATGCTCTAAAAACATTCTAAATGACTTCGTTTTGAGTAAATTCTGGATGCTACCCACTCAGGACACTTGGAATACATTGGACGAGCAGTATGGAGGAATATTGACGCGTTTTTTGTGGACTTTTATGGACCTTTCTGCCTCGGGCACCATAGACCTCCATTATTTGAATGTCAGCAGACAGCAAGAAGCCTCCCAGATCTCCAGATGCATTTGAGATATCAAAAAAGTACTCCAGAGTGTTGTTCAGCATGGGGGTGAGTAGAAAATGAAGGCTAATCATGTTTTGGGTGTACTATTCCTTTAAGCTTAGAATTCTGTTGTTTTTGCTTTTTTTTATTGGATCATTCTTATTTCCTTTTTACACATTTGAAATTAAGCTGTCCAAAGTTGAATTCCTTGTTTGTTTTAAGCTCATTCTGATGCTGAGTCAGTCCAACCTCTGGAGGACTTCCTGACACCTTGCAGGAGCCTCATTTTTTCAGATGGTGAGCTGCACCTGCTGCCTGCAGCAGGGTGGGCCCACTGCTGTCACCAAGCCAACACTGGAACACATAAGTACTTCTTCAGGGCTGATTATGCTGTTTATTCATGCCCATACACAAAACAGATGACTGTTTGATTCCGACTGCTGGTCTGCATTTCTGAGCAGGCGTTTCTCCAAGTCGGAGGAACTGTTTGCAGAACATTCAGGCTGTCTATGCAGCAGAAGACTAAAAAATAAACTTTTTTTTTTTTTAGTTTTTTTTTTTAGCAGTTTTCTAATAGAAACAGAATATACCACATTCAATAAAAATTACAACCACCTTTAATTCAGTCTTTGTTGCACAAATCGTTATTTTAATTTTAGTTTTATATAATATTCTCCAGGCTTTATAAAGGTTTTGTAATGCTTTGGAATTTGACTCTCTCTGAGGCTAAATCAAACCGATGTCCTGTTTTAACAGCAGATAGATTTGGAGATAACACAATATAAAAGGTTTTTAGTTTTGTTTCTTTAAATCATCAAAAGCAAACCATGCTTATATGTTCCTGTTTAAGGGCTGGACTCAATCTGAGGACTAAAAAACTCCAAAAAGCTTAGAAAACTATCAATTCAAACATCTTAGATGTTTCAATTGAAGTTTACTGGAAAATATTTTTTTAATTCTTGACCACATAATCTCGAATAAATGTTTTCAATTTCAAAAAGAGTTTTTACTAAAGGTATTTTTATTCTTATAGGACTTTGAAGCCAAATATAAAAACTGCTTTCCTCTCAATATTTGATTACTTATCTTTATTTGAAAGTTGTTGTTATAGTAGGTTTGTAAAATATTTATATATATATTTTTTTATTATTATTTTTTATTTTTTTTAGGAAGCAAATGAATTGTAAATAAAATCAACTTTGCCAAATATCTTCTTATTGTGGAATGAAAATTATATTGTTTTCTTCAGAAAAATTTTAAAAAGACCCACAGAAGAATATTTTCTAACCAAAAATAAACAAATACAGCAAAACAACAATATATTAGATCATCTATAAGCAGAATAAAAACAGAAACATCAACTTTTGCTTTTAAATTGTTTGTATACATGGAAAAAAAAATGAAATTAGAAAAAAACAAATTTTTACTTTTTTTTTTCTATTTTTCCCCTAGATATGAACAGTTTGTACTTGAATGTTGACTTTTTGTGTGGATTTCTTTGTTTGATAATCATTTTGATTGATCTTTTTTTTTTTTTTAAGATTCCTAGGCTTTTCCTTAACGATGTCCACACGTGTGCTCAGAGGGGGGAAGGAGGAAGTTAGTTTCTCGTTAGATTGTAAAACTTGTTAATGCACAGCTCCCTGCTCCCTCCCTCCCCTCTCCTAGGAGCCGTGCAGAGCTGCGGGGCTGGGACATTCCTGCTTTTAACGAGCACCCCGGCCACTGCCATGATTTGCTGAGCAACTCGACACTGACTGCCTTCAAAGATGCGTGTGTGGACGAGGCAGTAGAGCAGTAGAGCTGGAGGAGGCGCAGTAACGGGACAGAAACAACCGGGATCGGACTCAAACTTGAGTCCAGACAGAAAGGGAAGTTGGCGCACCTTGTCCCCCTGAAAGCCTGCGCTCAAGACCTAAAACTTTCCACCTCCGAGGGTCTTCATGTTCCTGCCGTCATTTCGCACTTTGAGCCCGTTTCTAATGGAGGGCCCCGCACTGATCTGGGATCAGAATAATGCTTTTTGCTGCTGCTGAGGGACCCGAAGCGTCGCAGCTTTCGCCCTCCTGGCAGAGAGGTAAGGGAGGCGGAGAGGAGCCAGAGGAAAGGCTCGGTGTGCGCACCGGAGCCAGCTGAGTGTGAGTGGGAATAACAAAAGAAAGGTGACGCTAAAAGGAGCAGTGATTGCGCTGTTTGGTTAACTCTGGTGCGCGGGGGCGCTCCTCCTTGGTGCGCGCTATAGACTCTACCTCTGAATGCATGCTTTATGCTCTGAGCTAATACTGCCTTTTATTTGCCTAATGGAAAGTTGTGCAAGAAGTTTGAAGAAATTACAACCCTACACTGTAAACATAAAAAAAAACCCAATGTTGATTGGTTTTTCTAACTAATCACACACATCTTAAAAAGTTTGGATCAGAAATACGCACCGATCATACCTTGATAAACACAATTTTAATGGAATTCATGACAGATGTATAATCTCCAACATGTATGGATTTAGTTTTGCACAAAAACATAAGCTGGATGAAAACACATGTTAAATATAGCTGAGGTTTGAAGTATTTATATAAATTTGTATGGGATAGTGCAACTAACATGATGATGGCGTTAGTTAGGATAGAGTGATTAGATTTGATTGTCAATTACTGAGGCTCTCTCCTGAGGTAGTCCGCTTGCAACTTACTGTTTTTAATCACTTTCTAAGAAGACTGTTTAGTGTTCCTTCATGACCCACTCTAAATGAGATTTTTTTTTAAACCAGCTAAATATTTCTAAACAGATTTTCTTTAATTTGCACCAAAATAAGTGTGTAGCCAGCTGACTGACAGTGCACAGCAACAACTGCAGAAGGGTGGAGTATTTTTCTACACTCCTTATAGACAGGAGGATTCCTCACCATCTCTGGCATCTCAGTATGGCAACTTGAAGCGATATAAGGAAAAAGTTAAACCCCTTTAAAACTGTCTTTTAAAACCTATTAATTTAATGTAGTATCTGCCTGATACTGGAATTACCTTATTGAAGATATGATGGCTAATGATTTTGTTTTGCTTAGATAAATTCGGAAAAGTTTCAATTGGAATATCTGTGGGTAGTTCCAGGAGAAAGTGCAGAGCTGCTGTCCCTGGGATCACTGAAGCAAAAACAAAGGCTTAAATATTTGTTCGGTAAACAAGTCCTTGTAGTCCTGGAGATTCACCCAACACCCCAATTAAAAAACAGATCCCTGCAGGTTGGCTTACTTTCTGGTAAGATGAAAGGGTACTGTTTAAAAAAGACAAATATGTTCTCCCTGAACACATTAGTGTTACCTTTCACATGGGTCACATTCGCATAGAAACCTGTCGGCATAAACTACCAATCATGCAGCGAGCATCGTTTTTATTTTTAATGCAGAGACAGAAATCTTTTATATTGTTTCAGGTCAATATTTTGTATCATATAAGGCGTTTTGACAGGTGCAGAATCCAAGTAAAGTGGCATTCAGCTGTTTGGAAGGTGTTATTTGCTGAGCAGGAATGTATACTTGAGGAAATCGGAGGAAAACAAAGCACACAAAAAAAATAAAAACTGACTTAAATCTTAAAATTTTACACTGAGAAAAAGATTTTGATATTTTAGCTTGGTCCAGATGTAAATCCCCTGATTTAAATGAAAGATGAATTAAAATTTCTAGAGGACTTCCAGGATTCCAAGTTTAAAAGTAAGGCTTTTAAAGCCCTTCATTCACTTCCACTGTCTCCTGTTCCCACTTATTACCCTACACATTGATTTTGTTCCCATACTGCTGGTGTTTGGGAGAATTTCCCTGCAGGATAGACACTTCAAGAAGTGATCAGTGGTGAACAAAGTCTGGAACCCCTCTCTCTCTCTCCTGGACATGCAGTCAGTGGGACGCACATGGCTGCTCTCAGATAAAAACCCTCCCAAAGTTCAAACACTGGCACATGCATTGTTATCGTCGGGTGGGTGACAAGAAGACACTTCCGACGGTTTTCAGATCCTTTCATTGCCTCCTAATGTTGCCTTTGACCAACGCTGAGGTGCTGGTACTTTGGGCTCACGTTCTAGTTCTTCTGTTTTTACTGTAGTTTGATTTTCAGTCCCTCAGCTTCAGTCTGAAGTTGATTGACTTGATAATTTTGTTGAATTATTTATCTTTTTTTTGCATCAGTTTCTTTCTATTGTTGTTGAGAAAAAAAAAAATATATATTTTTTTTATGAGAGCTTGTCAACAAATTATGATAGTTTTTATATATAACCTCCGCAGCTATACTTTTAAGTGCTGTGTTTCATTGCTTTTTAAGGTTAAAACTTTAAAAAAGCTTAGCGACATTACATTTAATCATAACATGAATGTATCAAAAAGCACAAATTCATCAATTTATCATAACAGTAGCTGGCTTATTTAAAAACCAGCAGTCCAGCCACTAGAGTATTTTTCTTTTTTAGCATAAGTGACCACATTGTTTCCTCTATAGTGTGTCTGTTTTGGTGATTCTGAGTGAATGAGCTGTCAGAAAAAAGTTTTTAAGCGTGTAATTTCTTTTTTTTTTTTTTTTTCCGGGGAAATTAATAAACCATTAGTGGCCCTGGCCCTTATCAGACCGACCCACACAAAGAACAACCGCGCCATTAAGAGGGCTTGAATAATCTTTGAGCTATTAGGGCGCTTGTTAATGATAAACATATGTTGCTGTAGGAAAACTATGTTAAGTGGGCAATTTAAATGTAAGCATGTGTAATGATAGCAGCCGCTGCTCTCATAATGGCTCTCTTGATTTTTCCTTTTTTTTTTTTTTTTTGCAATGCGACGTTGTTTTCACACAGCCACATGCACACCAGCAACGACAAATGATGGCTGAACACTAACAGCTGAGTGTGGCTTTCATTAAAAGTAAAAAAAAAAAACAGAAAGTGAGCTCATGTGTGACTTATAATGTAGTTCTGGCTTCAAAATGAGATCACCTTTTAGGTTGCTATATTTCATTTAGTTTGATGATTGAAAGCCAAATTTTATTTTCTTAGAAATTGTAAGATATAAATTTTTCAAAGTAAAAAACTTGCTTTCTTTCCTTTTGATCGATCAGTTAGACCTGGTTAAGGTGGAAAAAGGTGTGTCTATAAGCCAGCAAGTAGATCCATGCTCTGTGGATATATCAATAAGACCTCAGGCTTATGGGACCAGATAAGACAATAATCATGTTTGGAAATTTCACTGTTTTGGTTTAATTTAATGGAGAACTTCACATAACCTATTGTTTTTATACATTTTAGCACAGGTTTTTAAATTTCCTTTTTTTAAATTCTCCTTTTTCTGTTTTCCCAAATGAGGATGTAATTAATCTGAAACTATTATAAAGTTATTTTAGCTTTTGATCAAGACACCATCAAATGCAAACCAGGTTAAATTAAAGCTATAGAATAATCTCTTATTTTTTAAACTACTAAGAATGTGCGCTGTCAGTCTGAATCTCACAAGAACTATTTGAATTTGAATTTTTTTTAAGCATCTTAAATAGTGCTGCTCAAAATTTTTTTAGATTGTAAGGGTATTTTTCTAATATTTATGCAACACAGTCTCACCTATATTGCCAACAAAAAGTCTTTATAAGCCAACTCTGTCAACACAATGTGGTTCCACCTTTCTTAGTCTAAGGAGAGATATATAAAAAAAAACGATGGGCTAACTCGCCAATAGAAGGATGATTTAATTGAAGTTTGTATTCAACTTTGAGTATTTTAAATTTCAAACTTCAGTTGATTAGTTCTGTTGATTAAATCTAAACTAATGAGAAACTTTAAACATGATCAAGAATTTGCATCATAAATACTAACAGCTAATTTCTGTATATAATATATATATGTTTTGTCTTTTAAAGTGTATTTAGCAAACATTTTCTTTCTAAATAGTGCCAGGTATACTGAACTGTACAGAAATGCTGTTACAGCAGTCTTATTATTTAATTCAAATACACGTCAATGACCCTGATAGGAGTTTAGATAAAATAAATATATATATATATATATATATATTCTCACATGGACCATAAACTTTTTTGTTTTTCACACCTGTTGTCTGATATTTTGCTAGATAGATAATTAGAAATATTCTAGGGGTTCTTATCAATGTTTAAGCAACAGATTTTTGCCTGCCAGCCTGACAAACAGTCTCCTTTAGCTGACTCTGTCAGTGTAACATTCAAGAACTACCTCCCCTTTCATTTCAGAATTATGAGTCCCAAACGTAGATACAGAGCATCAATCTTTATACACACACCTTCATATTTGGAGCTTAAAATAATATCTGGAGTTATTTACATTGGCTTTTTGAGACAGACACCACTTTATCAAATATTGTGGCCTTTTAAAATATTGTAAGATCTTGTAATACTCCTGCTGAGCACTCTAAGCTCTTCTGTTGTGTTTCTGTGGTGAATGAATGGATAAATACTTAGTTAAGGTGGAAAACAATTAGTCTGACCTTCATGTTTTAAGCCAAAGGCAAACCTGAATAATCATATACAGGTTTGCCTGTATATTCTGGTGCATTTTCGGAATTAGGTTTCACCTAATCATTCTATTATTGCTCAATATTGGGCATGGCTGCCATGTTTGTTGCATGTCTCCCCCTTCTTCATCTTTTTCCTGTCTGATCACTTTCAAAATAAAGGCCACCCATGTTATAAAGCTAACAGATGAACAGGACCAATATCTTTGGCTCCTTTATTTTTCTTCGTAGACATGCACCGATCATCTGGCTTTTCTTGGCTAATACCATTGTCAGTTTTTCTTCAAGATATGACCTATTAATTCAGTGCCTGATTCAGATTTTTTGCTTTTCATTCAAAGAACTAAAGGACATACAAAAGAAAGAATGGGCTGCAGTGATATAACCTGCAATGGAAAATTAAATATTTGGAAATCCATGTCATTTAGTGCAGGCATCCCCAAACTCGGTTCTCAAGGCCCCCTGTCCTGCAGGTTTTAGAGGTTTCCTTGCTCCAGCACAGCTGATTTTAATTGAAAGCTGATTAACAGGCTTTTAGTCTACTGCAATCATTATAACCAGCT